GAAGACTTATTGTGTGCTTTCGAGACTTAGTGAGTGCTGTAGTACAGTTATATTTGAAAGTGTGTAATTCAGGGAGACTTGTATAGCTCCCGCGGTATTAATACGTGAAGACTACTGAAGATAGTGCGAAGAGATTTGGTTGTAGGGTTTGTAAAGTGTGGAAACCCGCAACTGTGTTATAATTAATTGTAGCCGTTTCTTGTAGATTGTTGAATAAACCACTTAACGATCTCTACGGCGTCTTCAGTAATGAAACACGTTACAATATTATCCTTTACTCCAGTGTCCCTACAACACCACTTGCAGAAGTGCTATTGCGTATTCTGCTAACTCAGGCATTCTTAACCTAGATTGCCTGTCCAGGTGTTGACATACTAATGTAATTGCTGTAAAACGTTTGTCGCAAGTCTTGAAACATTTAGGCAATGCATTTTGACTTCTAGTCTCAAAATTGTGGCGCAACATACACACATATGTGATACCATTTTATATTTAAATTTGCTGTTTGAAAGCTGTAGAGAAATAAAAAAGAGGTTGAGAGAATATTAGTGGATATTTTCAAAGGTTTTCCACTCATTAACCTCAATTTTTCACTCATAATTGACGAGCAGATGTGCGAGTTTCCTGAGCCCTGTTATTGAATCTCTGCAGTGGATATGGTGTCATTGACCTGTAAGTCAATCAACGTAAACATTAATCTGAGTGCCGGTGTTTACCTAATTGTTGAAAATATTGTGTTATTAGGATTCCGTATGTGTTTCATGAATGGGTGTATGTGTGTACCACTTCAAATGTAAGGTCACTTTCTGACTAAGTACAGGTTAAAGTACTGAGACATAATTTCCTGTAATTACATGGAATAGCTTCACTTATCATGCTAGCTAGCTGTTAAGATAAGATACCCTAAGACAGACCAGTGTGAGCAGATGTCTGCAGTCTGCAGCCATCCGCAGGTTTGGTCCTCTCTGTTTAAACATAGATGTGATTTGCAGTGGATATGGATTTATCATTACCAGAACATTAAAGAAATGAGTGAACAAGTATTTACATAAAGTTTCCATAACTGAATTTACAGTGTTCAGATTCTGTACACATCTTCCCTCATCTGTGAATCGGGCGTGTGTTAGTAGCTTTCATCTCTTTATTACGATCCCCAGTTGAAGCATCAAACATTTAATGGAGCAGTGTGTCTCATGTTGCGAATTTTTGCAGGTACACATGAACTTTCATTCATTCTCACAGGTAAAAGTCTAGGGAGTTGAGATAGGGATCAGGGTGGTGCATATTGTGGACCACCATGCCTGATCCATCTACCAGGGAAGCAATGATTGAGATACATTTTCACTGCACAGCTACAATGAGGATGTGCTATGTCATGTTGAAAAAGGATATGCGATAATTTTTCCAAAAGTACATCCTCTAACAGGTCCAGCAGTTCATTCAGCAGACATTTTAGATGACTGTCACTTGTCATATGACGCTTGAAAACAAATGGACCAATCATCTGACTATGAAGCATAGCACACAAAATTTGTCAATATGCCAGCATATATTGTTGCCAGAATGAAACTACTGTCACTTAGATCCAAACCATTCTTAAATTTCAAACATCCATTGCTCCATGACTGATGAGAATGAGGACCGTGTTAGTATGACATTCTGACAAGGGATGACTTTAGGTGTAAGGTCCTAAAGTGGAGAGAGTATATCATTAATCACCATGTATAAATTGCAACTGTGATACATTGAAGAGTAATGTTGTTGATGTATATTCTGGAAAAACTCAGTTTGAATCTTGACAAGGTTGCCAGCTATTCTGACCAAATATTTTGTGGCTTCTATTTCTGTCCAAGTGAATGCCAGGATCTCTGAGTTAGCCCATAACTGACTCTACCAAATTTTCCCCCACTCATGGTTGTTTTCATCCTGCCATCCTCCAGGACACCATGTAACCTGTACGGTTGATTATTTATTATTATTTTTGGAGCGGGTGGGTTTCCCCATGCCCCGCGACTAGTAGTCTATTGTGCGTCCCCCTTTGATATTCTACCAGTTGCCATGCCCTTCCAGTACTGGTGCTAGCTATCAGCCCCATCCTGCCAGCGAGGTCGGCCACCTCTCTGGCAGTGGTCCCTGATACTTCCCCATCTACTGGAGGAATTGAAAACTACTTGGGTGGGAAACTTTGCCTAATTTTGCTCAGAGGTCCCCTAGAGACATGAGGATCCTTTACGTGCCATAAATCTATGACACGGGACACATTGCTTAAAGTCCGTCCCAGAGGACTTGTTCCCTGAATTTTTCCGCCCTTAAAAATTCCACGACCTCTGCCGGGTTTGAACCCGCGTACCCTGAGTCATGAGGTGGGAATGTTACCCCTAGACTACGGAGGCCACTAACCTGTACGGTTGAAGCAGTGTGATTAAATAGCCACATAATTAATCAGTCATGTGACTTCAATTTCTTCTTTGGTTTGCTTTACTTGTGTTGTAAGGACATGTTTTACCTTTTTTCTTATGACTAATTAATATACAGATTTTCATGGAACATTATGAATTTGGTTCTCAGGTATCATATGTTTTAGTTTATTATCATCAGCAAAATTCTGGCAGTGGATACATCTGAGGTGGAAGCTACTGTAGCATCTTAAGATGGAGAAGGGATTCACAATTTTGTATGGTGATATGTCTTGGAAAATATACAGCTCTAAGTCGTGTTTTGTATGATATAAGATAATCCAGTCAGTCTGATATCTATACGTATTTACTTTTCAGTTTTCTAGTATTGCCTCATGCTGTGTTGTTAGGCACGTGATTCATGCAGTTCTTAAATTGTTTGATCTTTATTGTCCAGGAATAGGGGATTTTTAATTCTCAGTAACAGCAGTTACATTATTCAACTGCAGAGATTTTACAGTGTTGAATGAGGATGAAAGATGATCATGAAACTATAGTAGGTAAGGATATGAAAGGAGGCATCCATGATCCATTTCAATTTACTAATCACCTTTCCAGAATAAGGGAAACTGCAAAAATAGTAGTTAAACTGGCTGAGATTCAAACTGGGTACCTTCTGAAAGTAAGTTTTGAATGTTACCACTTTACTAGCTTGTTAGGAATGTGAAGTTTGGTGTAGAGACAGGTGTGTTGAACATGGTTTCATTATTCAGTTAAAATGCTTGGAGGTTGTGTTTCAGATAGACGACCATTTGTCTTCTTTAGATAACTCATGTTGACGGATGTCTGCTGTTACTGTTATGGCCCAAATTTGAGATTGAAGAGGGTATGGTATTACCCAAAAGCTAGAGACTTGTGAAAAGAGTTTTGCAGCTATTGCCGTAAATTGTAAACACCAGGACTGGCAATTAGGTTAAGAATGTGACTGCACAGCAGGTCTCCATAATCGCAGAGCAATAGCTTACCTCACTCGTTCACTGGATTTAATCGTAAGAGCCTGCTTACGCAGCAATAAGACGCAAGGGGTCCGCCCACAACCACCCATGAGAGCCAATGAGGAGGTTATTATGAGGATTGAGGACACTGAGGGGGAGTCACCTACCCTCTGTCATCAACGCTGAATCAGCGAAAGAAAACGATAAATTAGGGAACTTCGGGGGATTTGGATCATGTTCTAACACATAATATTCGGTTGTCAGCCGAAGGCTCTCTTCAACATGGGTACGACCAGCGGAGGTAGTGGGCCGGCATCTTGTACTTCACGTAAGTTTATTTACGCATAATAGCCATGCTGATTGAGAATATCGTTGTTTCATAGTATTGGTGATAACAGTGTTGTTGAGCTATTGAATGTGCAATTTCCAGTGTACCCAGTGAGCCCTGAGGGTAGGGACCAGGATCTTGTAAAAGGCTAGGATATTAGTCAGGCAATCAGTGATTTATAGTATATATATCAAGGTTAGGGTTAGTGTGTTGTAGTAAAGATAGTATGCGGGATTCAATACGTATAACCAAGGATAGATTGGGTTAAGATGTATAGATCGTGTACTTATATGTCGGTGTCAAGGGTACCCATAGTGAGTAGTGGTAAATATAGTACGTGGGAATTTAATATAGATATGTAAGGGTAGATCACGTTTTGAGGGAACTTTATGAAAGATAGTAGAATTGTATATAAGACGTAGTAAGAAATGTACAACTAAAAGATTTATGTTACACGAGGAGGGCGTGCATGGCCCTTTAGATGATTCAGAGAAAGAGAGAGAGAGAGGCTCAAGGCCTCCACCCCTGAAGGGGGAGAACTTGAAGAAACAGAATGTGTAGTAAAGATTCTATGTAGTAAAGACTGAAGGTCAGTCTTTGTTGATAGTGTAAATAATGTAAATATCAATGTAAATAGATAGAATAGGAAACCGGGGATTGTGATTTACCCTCCACAACCACCTTCCTCGACCCATCCAGAAGATCCAACACCAATGAGAGTTGCAACTGCAGCCGAAGGCTTAAGAGGTGCTAAGAATAGACAGGAATAGGCTCCGGCCACACGGGCAGAGTTCCGTAGCCTGGATAGCAACGCCCCTTAAGATGTAATGATAAAGTGTAATAATAATGTATCAAGTCGCTACCTGTAAACTACGGGAGGAGTGGTCAAGGAGCTCTGACTATATGTCAGGGAGTAGTGCCCACGATCAAAAGGACAGATCACAGATGGTGGCAGCTTTTACCGAGAAGGAAACCCCGAAAAAGGATAATCCTCGCTAAGGGTGAGCTAGGATGATTGTGACAACTCCTTACAGAGCAAGTGACGGTGGAGGCAAGGAAGGATACCTCCACGGCCCCCTACTTGTGGCGTAACAGTGGTAGCAGAGGAGGCTGACTCCACGCCCCCCTGCGCCACGGCATTACAGTTACTTTAGTTGATTGGCATCACCTGTTAACATACAATGAGGACATTTTGAAGCAGACTTTATTGTCAAGTATGAATTTGTTTTGGAATGAACTTTGAAATTGCAGTTTCTTTATTGTAACTTATTTTAATTTCAGGTTGGTGTATTTCCATCCAACTTTGTGACAGAAATTGTGGATACACGAATAGCAGGTGTTTGTAAACCAAGAACCAGTAGCCGCGAAGAAGCCAGTGAGTTATTTGTGTTCATTGCTAAACAGCAGATGTTTTTATGATTTTTATAGTTCTATTTTCCAAGTATAGTTGTAAGGTTCATTAATAGGCAAAAGGTCAAGTGAGTAACACTGTGTTCATACAGAAACACTGTGCACTTTTTCCCAACCGAATAGTTTCCAAAGTGTTGACTCTGCATTATGTTTATGGACACTGTGGAGGCCCATAAGTTTGTAAGATGTTGAGGTTCCCACATTTTTTAGACAATCGGCTCATAGATGGCAGCAGAGTTGTAGCTGCAGTAATTAACTTCACTGATCTGTGTAATTGTTTCTCATTTACTTATTTTGATTGTCATTTGACCTCACTTCCACAGGTGAAAGTGATGGTGAAATGTCTACTTCAGTTTCAAGCCCAGATTCCAGTCAGGTGTTAGAGTCAGGAAGTAAACCTGAGCAGGATTCAGAAGCACCAGTGTTGCCACCAAAACCAGGTAATTTATTTGAGAGAAGAGTAAGATCTTGAAGCTTAACATGGTAATTCTAAATGAGTAAACTGTTGTAAGGAAAGTAGTTGGAGGGAAAGTCATGAGTGTCATGGAGACTGTGTCAGATATTGGTCAAGTTTTATTTAATCGTGAAAGATGGAAACCAATTGGAAGGCACATTGTGTTCAGATACAATATTTTGAGTTTTCATGTCTCATTGGTCTGGATATTTTTTTTTCTTCCACTCTAGACACAAATCTACTGTTTCATCGGTAATAGGACTGCATAGAGTCATAAATTATTAGGTGCCCTTTAAGGAGTAAAAGAAAGTAAGGTCTTATGTGGAGATCATGTCTGTTCATCTGTCTGTCATCTAGTATCAGTGCCAAACTCTTGACAGATTTCCTTTTTGTTTGACAATGGAAGCTTAACTAGAAACTGTTGGAAGATTTAAATTTTCACTGATATTGCTCCATTACTAAGCCCATTTATATATGTTTATACAGTTTTTCATATGAATCATGTACTTCTAATCATGTCTTGGTGAAATTTGACATGAGAGGTGCTTGCATAATGTTAGTAGCCCATTTTGATTTTTAGCCCTGTTGATAGATTACAAGCTTAAAGGTAAAAGTGATATCTCTGTGCGTAATTATTTAACCACCACACCATGAAGATGTATGAGGAAGTGGAGGTGTAGCTTCATACCTCTGCTGCCTTGGCCCCATGGATGAAGCCCCTGGTATCCATTGGATAGGAATCTGGTGTGGATACTGTAGATAGAGAAAAGTCTCTTGCCCCTGCCAGGAATGGAACCCCAACCATCCTGTAGCCTGTTGCTACACCAACTGAGCTATCCTGGCTTCTCGTTACAAAGCCTACTTTACATATTGTCATAAGGCAACTTATCCATAGACCACATAAGCCATTTCACAGATTATGTTGTAACTCAGTATTGTATGTAATTATGCTATTGAAATATGAATTTTGTTCATTGTATTGGTTGCAGTCTTTCAGATCTTGTTTATCTTGTATTTTATGAGGTATCATATTAAGTAAATGTTTATGTTAAAGTCATAGAGTTTAATGAGCTGAAAATTTGAATGAAGACAAGTGGAGAGACCAGGAACAAGTTTGAAAGGAAAGGGAGGGAAAATATTAAAAAAAAGAGAGAGAGAGACAGAGAGCATTGTTATAAAATGCTGTAAATATCAACATCAATGGATGATGGTAGTGATGATGATGATGATGTATTTTGAATACAACAGACAAACTTAGAATAATTATTAGTTAGACTTTTAGTCTCTGATATTTAAATGATCATGGTCCTACAGTGTAAAGTATTGTGAAGATGATGTTTGACATCTTGCTGGTCATGTGTTCCAACAGTGAAGGAAGTGTGTCGAGCGCTGTTTCCATATGAGGCAGCAAATGAAGATGAGCTAACGTTGAAAGAAGGTGATCTCATTACGCTACTGAGTCGAGAAGTGGCTGACAAGGGCTGGTGGAGAGGCGAACTCAGGGGCAAGGTTGGGGTGTTCCCAGACAACTTTGTGGAAGCCATTCAGCAAGAAGAGGTGAATGAATAAACATATCGTCACGTGTTAAGTGACTAGACATGGGATTTGAACAGTGATTGGATTTATTGAAGGCTTGTAACTAGCAGCTACAAATAATTATAATGATATCACTAATCTACATGCTTAACAAGTCACTATAGTGCATACTAAGTCTTCTCACTTTGGTTGCTGTCTACATATGACGGTTGCTTGGTAGTGGCTTTTGACCGTTACTGCTTCTGTGCTTAACAGTTCCTGTCCTTGCTGACTGGCAACTGACTTGCAACTCATTCAGCTGCAGCTGTCAACTCATGACTGACCTTCCACTGCAGCTGTCCCACAACTCATGCATTGCTCCAACTCTGTCTATTCTCTGCTACAACTGACTAATTCCGAAAGTCATAGTCAAAGTCACATTGTGACTGATAGTCAGTTGGTCAGTAAGTCTTGGTGTTGAGCCCCATCTGGTGCTCATGACCAGATATTATATACTATTTGACTGTTACGGTCTAATTTTTTTGTGGGGTGCCCTCTCTAACGAGAGGATGGGTTTATCTTTTGTATATGATGCTGGCCCTTGCCAGCCCAGTCTGTTTCGTGTTCAAGTCCCTTGGTACTCACAACCATATTTTACTGTCTTAGAATCGCCCCCTGTCTTTTCATCGCCCCCTGCGATTCACAGGGTCATGGTGGAGGTATTCTACCATGCCTCCACATGGGTTCTGACTAATTCTGTGTCTGAGCTCTCCTTATGTAACTTCAACACAGACGATGCAGAAAACACCACTTCCAGCAATGTCCCTGGCCATTACAGTGGCTGTTACCTAGCAGTGGGCTGGGAATTGTCACGTATTTACCCAGCCGTTTCCTAGTAATGACCGTGTTTTTCGGCAATCCTGTCACAATATAATGAAGCCCTTATATGGAAATGTTTACTGTTATTAATTGTAAACCTAATGGATATTAACAAATAGAAATGACCGTGTGGGTACATATGAGGGTTCTAATGAGACTTGTTTGAGGATTGTTCTGGGCCAAGGAATGTGTTTACCAAGCTGTTGCCCAGAAACGATCGTTTACAGAGTCACCACTTAGCAACAGGTCTATACGCCACATTAAGTTTAAGGTATTCTGAGATATGGTGCCATGTAGTTTTGTAAATAGTTGTGGAGGAATTGCTGCCCCCACCTTCAAGATAAGCAGTAGATTCCTCCAAAATGTTGGTACTCATCTACCAAACTACACAGTGTCACACCATGGAAATGTTTTTGTTCTTAACATGTAACAACTTTTGACTTAATGTTTCCTCACTCGTTTGTTACCAGCAACAACACAAGAAGCCCGATCGACCACCCGCCAAATCACAAGTTGTGACCACAAACCGAGCACGGGACAGTATCACCAAACCTGCTGTGATAGTGCCTGCAGCTAGTACAACGAAAGGAGACCCATTCTCCCAGCGTAAGCTATCAGATACAGTGCTCAAAGCAGGTAAGTGTTGCTGCAAGTGATGCTATTCTGGATGGGTCTACTGAGTTTCATCAGACATTTTGTATGATGTGCGGAAGATTTAAAGAGAAGGCAGCATATTTATTTTATATCTAGATGGTAGCTCATGACTTCAAAATGTCTGGTCTCAATTCATGACCTTTACTGTTGCTTGAATATGGTAATGGCAGTAAATTGTGAGTCTTGAAGACATTTTGTTATGTAATTGTAACCAAATGGTAATCTAAGCACCAGTGTAACACTGTGTATATGGGAAATTGAGGTCAGATATTCAGATAAAAGTCTTATGCAATTAACGACCCTCTGGGCACTATTTGTCTTCCTGTTTTGTTTGAAATAATGTTTCAGAGACTTGAGTCTGTCTCCATCTGCAAGTAAAAATTAAAAAAAAAATCAATGGTTCCAGCTTCTGTTTAAGTCGTATTGTGGTTTTTTTGACTCTGATTGTTGCATTTTGCACATCCATAGCTGCAGGGTGTCATGCATATGGTATTTTAAATTTGTATCTTAACCCCTGCAGATGATTTCTGTTATGTTTAGTTTATATGTGCCTTGTGTTGCTTCTGGTGTCTGGAGGTATAGTCTAGCTCAACTGAGTAGGCTTCTTGCTTGAGAAAGGAGACAAGGGTCAAGTTTCTTAACATCATTTTTAATAAAAATAGGACAGTGGATAATGTCAAAAAAGTCCATCATTGTGTTAATATACCATCGTCATAAACATGTAAGGGACTTAAGAACATTTGATATGTAATCCATTCTCAGCAATGCTATTTTATGAATAATAAATTACACCAGAGTCTTAAACCTTGCAGTGTTACTGCAGTTTACTATCTTATGTCAAAACTCTGATGTTTTAGATGAGCGGCCGACTTCTTCAGTGTCTTCTATTCCTTCATTTCCTAGCAAGAAACTTTCATTTCCCCCTCCTCCAGTAAAGAAACCACAGCGAGGTGGATCATCAAACCTTATTTCTGCTCCATTAACGAAACATGATTCACCTGCTGAACAACGAGGAACACCTGATGCTGTGGACGGAGCTGGACTCAGCAGACCAGTCCAGAAAACATCTCCACGAGGTCTGATGGAGTTTGATAGTGTAGAAAGAAGTGCCATGCTAACACATCCAACAGCAACTAGAGTCAAAGCACCTCATCGCAGGTTACCCTCTGCAGTGCACAATAAAGAAGCGGTAAGTGTTGAAACGTCATCCTCAGAATTGGGCATGTAATAGCGTCATACACAGAGTGACAGTAAAGTTCCCAAACTGACGCTGTTACAGTGGTACTACTAATGCCATCTATCAGGGATGAATGGAACTAGGTAGAACGTTTATTTATATGATGTACAAGTTTTAACTTGTTTGGTTGTTGCAGATGAGGATTACAATTCTGGTAAAGTTAGTTTTCTCATTGTATCAAAGGTTTCAAAATGGATCAGAGCAGGGATTAAGTTTTGTGTAAAATTAAAGGAAATAGCTCCAGAAACGTTTGAAGTGTTGAAATGTGTGTGTGCTGAAGAGTGTGAGAACAAATGTGGTTGAATGGCATAAAATGTTCAAAGAAGCTCAGAAAGTGAGAATGCAAAACTTTGTATGGGTGTGAAATGTGGGCTTTCATGCTGAGGGAAGAACATAGGTTGAGGATGTTTTTTATGAATGCCAGTATTTGTACCTAGTAGAAGTGAATTGAATTGAATTGAATTTATTTACATTCTATAAATCCTAAGTAGGTTAGTACCTTTGGATACAGAACAAGTCAAAAGGTTACATACATAAGTACAGGCAATTTTAGCTTAAAAATTAATATAACTTAATTTTACATCATTCTCTATTTACATTGAAGTATTCATCTAAAGAGTAGAAGGAATGAGCATGTAGATAATTCTTTAACTCTGATTTAAACTTTTTAGTATCATTGCCCAAGTTTTTAATACTTTGTGGCAGATTGTTGAACACTTTTATGCCAGTAAAGTAGACTCCTTTTTGATATACTGATAAAGTTGATGAGGGTAGGTGGAAGTTATATTTTTGTCTAGTATTCATGTTATAGACATCAGAATTTAATTTGAATTTATCTTTGTTGTAAACAACAAATAAGAGAAGCGATAATATGTATTGCGATTGAAGAGGTAGAATTTTGAATTTCTTAAATAATTCTCTACATGAATCTACTTCTACATCCTGTAATGATTCTAATTATATTGTCAAGTATTGGGCGTATAGCGCGACAAATAACTTCACGCCGTCTTTGATACAGCGAATTTTATTTCACATTCGCTCTTACAGTCACCCAAATTACAATCTGACGATTACTGCTATCTTCAGTATCACAGATATTACACTCCAGATATAACTGGTTATCCCGAACTATCACTGATTCTCGCACACGCGTCTGTAGCTTGTAACTTGCGAACTGAGAACTCGTTGATAGCACACTGACTGACTGTCACAGTACGACTGACTGTGAATAGCCTTCGCTGCTCCTTATGTAGCCTTGATCGGACAATTGTCGTCGGGTGCCGTGTTGCTAGCCACGCTGTCCAGAGTTGTTGACTGCTGCCTAGCAACCGCGATATCCCTCGGTGACGTCACCGCTGTTTACTCGCTTTGCATAGCTTCAAGGTTGCGGGGACTCGGCTAACGTCGGCTCCGCTCGGCTCACTTCGGCTCCGCTCGTGACGTCACCGCGCGTTGCATAGCTACCAGGATGCGGGGTGATTTCTCGCCTATTACGCGAGCGCTACGTTACCGCTACATGCAGCAGGGGAGGTAGGGGTCAACATGTCACACTGCTCCCTCCTTAAGGCTGTTCGTCCCGAATAGCCTAACGGTGCATCCCCGTTCCTTTTCCTCGGTGGCTGTTCTTGCAGCATCT